TGTGTGTGTGTGTGTGTGTGTGTGTGTGTGAGAGAGAGAGAGAGAGAGAGAGAGAAAGAGAGAGAGAGAGAGAGTTGGGGAGCACAACCTTTTTCTGAAGAGGAAAAAAAGCACATCACAGTTCTAGGATACCAGGGATACTGGCAAGTCTTTGTGTGTGAGCCCCAAGTCTGAGTCTTTGGTACCAAGTCCTGAACCCCAAGCCCTTCTAAAAACAAGCTATTTTCTCCAGAAGAAAGGAGAAGGGATTGGTGGGTTCTTAGTCGCAAGTTGAGTCTGAGTCACTGAAAAAAATAAGTCTCATGACTTGAGTCCCCATCCCATTATGAAATACACACAACAGATTTTAGCCATGGAAGAGTATCAGGTGAAACAGAAGTCTAGGCTGCAACATTTCAGCCTGGCTAGCTTTCTAGAGTAACATCGTTTTGTATGTCTTTATTATTGCAGGCATCCAGCGACAGATAAGGATGTGTCACCTAGCCTAACATAACAAATATATTTGGTAAAAACTTACCACGTGACCCCGTAATGGAGGATAAATTGAACGTACATGCTTTTGGTTATTTCACAAAACAAAAGGGGGAAAAGAAAGACATGGCACTTTGGTTGCATTGCACACCAATGTTCTACAAAAGCTTACATTAAAACATAGCAGTTGGTCTTTAAAGTGCCACAACGTCTATTTTTGTTTTGTGTTTCCTGCTCAAACGCTTGCATGGGCTAACACGGCTACAACTCGGAAAACTTATGCTTTCATTTCCTACTTCTTAATGAGTTGCATGTGACCTCCTGCCTTTCAGCTGAGGAAAGGACTGAAAGAACTGGGCACATTTAGCCGAGAAAAGAAGACGGGAGGGGTGATGCCATAATATTTTTCCAATACCCGGACGGCAGTGATTCAGAAAGAGGGGCAGGATCTGCTCTCGATCAAGTCCAGAGTGCAGGACACTAATAATAATGGGGCTCAAGCGACAGGAAGCTCAGTTTAGGCGGAGTACGGTATTAGGGAAAACATCAGGCAAAATCCAAAGAAACAAAACTCCATAAAGCACAGGAAGCCCAAGTCTTCTACAGTTTCTATTGCGGGGCTCATGCCACAAAAGGCACCCAGGTGGACCCAATGGCAGCTTTTAATTCTTCCCGACGTTGAGCGCTCAAGTCTCAGAGTTCTACTTTTTTCCTATCTCTACGGGCCTTGGTGTAGACGTCATTTTCTGTGCGCGGCAGGCGCCGCGGTTCGGGCCAAGGTCGCGGGAGCGGAGCGGAGCCGCTCAGTGTCAGAAATCGGCCCGAAAAGGCCTCTTCCCCTTTATGTCGTCCCAAGAGTCGGGGCTCAGCCCCGCACGGCAGCCTGGATGGCTGGACAAAAGCAAAACCGACGAAGAGCTCCGGGCTCACCAGCTCCGTTTGCTCCGGCGCCGCTGGCTCAAGGACCAGGAGCTGAGCCCTCGCGAGCCCGTCGAGCCCCCGCGGAAGCTCGGGCCGGTGGAGAGGTTCTGGGCCGGCTTCCTGGAGCCCGGCTCGTGGTGGAGGCGGCAGGTAAGCGAGGGAGGGCGCGGAAGGAGAAACCGGGAGAGTCTCGGGATGCTCTCGTCTCAGAGACGCGGGAAGAAAGACCAGAAAGTGTTTACGATGCCTGCTTCTCTGTCTGTGCAATACTCGCACAGTTGTTAGGGGACACACGAACATACATCTGTGCCTGCAAAGCGGGTAAAAATAAATACATTTTCAATAAATATATATTCTTTTTGTTTTAGGGCTGTGTTACTGATTTACTGATTCTTGGCCGAAAAGAATCTCCGTTGTATGGCTTCCATAGGATGACAGTCATGTGCGGTCAAGTCCCTGACCATGCCCTCCAAGGATTTTCTAGGTGGAGAGTACTCAAAAATGGTTTATCTGTCCCTTCTTCATCTAGGGGGAGTCAAGGACTGTGCATCTTGCCCCAAGCACGTACAAGCTGGCTCTATTCCTTGGAGGCGCAGTGGAGAATTGAACTCCCCTAACCCTCCTTAGGCTCCATGATCACTGCAGATGGTGACAGCAGCCATGAAATTAAAAGACGCCTGCTTCTTGGGAGGAAAGTGATGACAAACCTCGACAGCATCTTAAAAAGCAGAGACATCATCTTGCCAACAAAAGTCCGAATAGTCAAAGCTATGGTTTTTCCTGTCATAATGTATGGAAGTGAGAGCTGGACCATAAAGAAAGCAGACCGCTGAAGAATTGATGCCTTTGGATTGTGGTGCTGGAGGAGGCTCCTGAGAGTCCCCTGGACTGCAAGGAGAACAAACCTATCAATTCTAAAGGAAATCAACCCTGAGTGCTCACTGGAAGGACAGATCCTGAAGCTGAGGCTCCAGTACTTTGGCCATCTCATGAGAAGAGAAGACTCCCTGGCAAAGGGATATTAAGAAAGTGTGTCGGCAAGAGGAGAAGGGGACGACAGAGGATAAGATGGCTGGACAGTGTCTGCGAAGCAACCAACATGAAATTGAGACAACTACGGGAGGCAGTGGAAGATAGGAGGGCCTGGCGTGCTGTGGTCCATGGGGTCACAAAGAGTCAGACACGACTAAATGACTGAACAACAACAACCTCCTCGGCCAGGTGCCCCAATTTATTGAGCTGCCAATTCAGTTCAGCCAGTTGCCCCAATTTATTGAGCTGCCAATTCAGTATGGTCTATTTAGAAACAAAGCAAAACATGCAGCCCCCCAGAAGAGCCAACCTGTGTGGCTTTGAGCAACCTGTACAGTCGCAAGATGCCCCCAGAAGAAGGGACTGGTAAACCACTTCTGAGTACTCTTTACTTAGAAACCCTGAGCAGGATCTCCAAAAGAACTGATTTGACAGCATACAGTTATTAATTTGTATTGGTATATATTTAAAATAATGTAATATAAAGTACTTCTGTAAGATTAGACCAAAAAAGTAAGTTCTTTTATTTACTAATTACTTTCAGAAAAAGTATTCCTAATCCTGTGCTCACATAAAGGCCATTAGTTGGTTTGGGTCATATGATAAATGTGGCTTATTGTGGGAGGAAAAGCTTCAGTGATGCTGAGGTCACATACTTTCATTTCTATTTGAAATCATTTTTGTTTCTTCCAAATCCAGTATACTGCAATCTGAATTATAGTTTAAAGCAAACCAACTTCAAAGACAGTCTGTTTTGAAGACAGCCTATTTCAACAAAGCAAATTGAATTATCCATTCAGTCGTATCTGACCCTTAGCAATTCCATGAGCCAACTCTCTCCATAATTTCTGATCTTGTACAGCTTTTTTCAGTCGCTTTATATTTTGGCCAGTGTCTGGTTTGATTGCATTAAAAATGTAATGAATTATTGGTGTTGCGATCTAATAAGAAAAATAACTTATTTCTAGGTATTCAAAACCTACAATACTGGGGTACGGATTTTCGTTTATGTGCTTGTTCCTACTTGGGTTATTCACTACTACATAAAATATCATCTAATGGTATGTATACGTTGTGCAGCATTTTTTTTTAATGCAGCTGTAGAAGCTAGCCATCTGTTATACACAAAAACATATAACAATAGCCTTTTCTGTTACTATTCTGCACATCTCCATTCATCCTCTTGCAGGAGATTTTAAGAAGCCTTGCTTTGAAAATTGACTGTTCTTGACTGCAGGTCTTGTAGTGGATGCTTAAAATATATGTTTCCTAGAGTTAAGGTGTTCTAAAGTATTTCTAAGTGTTCTAATTGTTTTAGGGTTTTTAAAGGTGATTGTATTTATTGTACCTTGCACTGAGACCTGTTGATATAGGTTGGACTAGAAAGGCTTCATTTAAATAAACCAATGGTCAAAACTGCATGCACAATACATAAATATTTGTGTGCTGCTGTGCACTGCTGGTTACAGATAAATTGTACTGTGGACAAACTGTGGTAAAACCAGCTATGGTTCTTTTGCCATTAAGCAGTTGCTTTGTTTTCTCAAACAAGCTCTTATTCTACATTCAGGAATAGTAATTACAATGCAAAATATCAAGTTAGTCAGCAAATACCTTTCCCTGTTTGTGCAAGTGAACCCGTTCTTATTGGAATACTTTTTCAGCTGTGAGGAATTTTGGTCCTTTTTAAATTCAGAATCTGGTGCCGTAAAATAGTCCTGCACTATGAGTAAATGATAACATATTGATATGGGAAGATACAGGGCATAATAAATACCAAATAAGCTTCTGAAATGCCAATTACATTAAGTATTCACATGCTTTATTACTTTTTCTCCACAGAAAAGGCCACATGCAGTTCGTTATCCATTACCCAAAGTATATCCTGTGAGTCAATTTAATTTTTATGCCTTGTGTCAGTTCATTATACGTATACAAATGTAAAACAATGTTGAGACCAAGGCTTGAAAAATGCACTCGTCCACTCCTCTGTGACAAGTGAAAAAACTCTGCTTGACAAACCACAGCTCCCTCCCTGCCTGCCTCCTTACCCTCCATCTCCATTCCTGTTTCTCTCTCTTTCTAATCTTACAGTCCTCCCCTCCCCCTCCCATTGTAAGAGGAAAACTGCCCTCTTCGCATGAGAAGAGCGTTTGAGCAGCACATAGAGATATAGCTCTGCAGGAGAATGTAGAGTAGTCCCTTGCTGGAGAATATGGAGATTCCCTGCTCCCAATTTTAACCAAACGAGGACACATTCTAAGGTGGGAGGGAACTGTGGCTTCTTAAGAGCCGGGTGCTTTTGCTCTTGGTTTTATTTTTGCTGGAGACATTCAAAAGAAAGGCATTCAAAATACAAGCTCCATGACCCCACAGGCATGCAGGTAATAAGGTCTGAGGGTACAGTATATTTATTTTGGGTTTGTACACATTGTTACGTAGAAATAAAAGCAAACAAGTGCCTAGTTTAAATTTGTTAACATAAATTGCAAGGCTATAGTCCAGTCATACTGACTGGTGAAATTTTTGACTGACTTGTTAGACATTCTAAAATTTTTCAAGCTCTGGTTGAGATTTTAAGATGTTGTAGAAGTCTGGTAAGTGGCTTACCCACACAGACTGTTGGTTTCTTAAGGTCAGTGGTTATATCATTTTATTGTTGCTGTGGGACTTTGCATATGCTACATGGCACCCATTTCCAGTTTTGCTGAGAGGGTTTTACAGGAACCAAGTTTGATATTTATTCCTCTGACCTGAGAGGTAATGGCCAGGCTTCTGTTATGGATTTACACCATTTGAAGTGTAACTTCTACTTTTTGTTTGACAAGTGGTTACCCACCTTAACAGGAGTGGGATACAGTTTAAATAAATAAACTAGGGATGTAGGTGGCAATTCAGTCATTATTGGCAATGTAACATTGCAGTGTATGCAATAACATTTACCGTATTTTTTGCTCCATAGGATGTACCTCTCCATAAGACACACCTCATTTTTAGGGGAGGAAAATAGGAAAAAAATAATGCAATAACATCTGCCGTATTTTTTGCTCCATAGGATGTACCTCTCCATAAGACACACCTCATTTTTAGGGGAGGAAAACAGGAAAAAATATTTGGTAATTTCTGCCTGCTGGGCCCGCAGGGGTGTAGGTGGGGGTAGTTTCAGAAGGGTCCAAGAGTGCCTTCCAGGACCCTTCTGAGGCTAGGAAAGCCTCAGAAGGGTCCTGGAAGCTGCCGATTACAGCCTCGTGGGGGGGGGGGGGGCCTCCAAAGGGGCCAAGACTACATTCCAGGACCCTTCTGAGGCTAGGAAAGCCTCAGAAGGGTCCTGGAAGCTGCCGATTACAGCCTCGTGGGGGGGGGGGGGGCCTCCAAAGGGTCCTGGAATGTAGTCTTGGACCCTTTGGAGGCTCCCCCTCCCCCCACGAGGCTGTAATCGGCAGCTTCCAGGACCCTTCTGAGGCTTTCCCAGCCTCAGAAGGGGCCTGGAAGGTCACAATTTCACCCCCGCTGGCCCCGCAGGGGGAGCCATCAAAGGGTCCTGGAAGGCACTCTTGAACCCTTTGGAGGCTCCCCCTGACCCCCATGCGAGGCCAATTGGGGTGAAATCGGCAGCTTCCAGGACCCTACTGAGGCTTTCCAAGCCTCAGAAGGGTCCTAGAAGATCGCAATTTTGCCCCCAGTGGCCCTGCAGGGGGTGGGGTGAGCTTCCGAAGGGTCCTGGAAGGCACTCTCGGACCCTTTGGAGCCCCCCCCACCATCCCCCAGCTGGGCCCTGGGGAGTGCTGTTTTACAATATTCACTCCATAAGACAGGCACTCCCCCCCACTTTTTTGGGGGGGCGAAGTGAGTCTTATAGAGTGAAATAGTATACTGGTGCCAGTAGGATTCTGGCCATCAAATGTCTGATACCCCAAAATGAATGTGGTACAGTATAGAGAGGGCGGAGTTAGTAAGTCTGTTGCGTGCATGGATTTCAAATGGATACCTCCACAATATATTGTATGGAAATAGCAGCATAGTTGTTGAATTTTGCCTTGCATGCATTTGTGTGTGTGATTACTTTGATATTGTTGTATTATGACAGCATTTACAATTTTCTTCTATTTCTTAGGGTGATGTAATTCAGGAGACAGGTGAAGTTATTCCCCCACTGGAAATACCAAGCAGTCATCATTAAGACACTCAAGAATGCTGCAGGCATTTGTCTTGCTTTTCTAAAATTTATTACATAGTTCCAAATCCAATATAACAATAAAGTGGCTTCAGTAACACTAGTCTGACTTCTTTGTTTTTAATGAAATTTATGTTGTACTCTTCCTCTGTCTCCTCATGATAGTAGATAGTTGCCAAAAACTACTGTTTATTGCTTCTGCACTGAAATGAAAGTCAGGCTTAAAGGCTTAACCACCTGGTCCAGTCAAAGAAAGCGGATACAGTATGTTCTTTTTTTTTTTGGCATATCAGAAATCAAAACACACTAAACATTTCACGTATGAACACAGCTGTCTCATAACAGATTCAGCTGAAATTATTGTTTTGTGGTTCATTTAGCAATTGGTTGCTTCAAGAGTAAAATTACAAAATGTTTACATTTGGAACTAATAGGTGGCCTCTCCATCTCCAAACCTATGGGTTTACCACTTAAACTCATCCTAGAAATCACAAGTTCAGTGGAGATTTCTTAGCGGCTCTTTGAGAATACCAACCTCCCTTTTATAAATTGGAACTCTGCCATGATAAGCAGCGAAACATACAAAGTGTTCAAACACTTTTAGTTGTCTTCACAGCCGATGTTAATTAGAAAAAGTAGTGTTGAAGGAACGCTTAACTTTAGGCTGGCAATGTTGCAAGTGCTGTTTTCTTGTCCTTCTTTTCCTCTCCATACTTTTGAGAGCTCAGAATTCCTATACAGCACTGCAAATTCCTGCAAAACTTTGAGTTCAAATTATTTTTTGTAGATTATTTGGCTAAATATAGCCTGAGCACTGCCATGCTTCTGGTAGGGCTGTAGTAGTATCTCTCTACTGTAGTAAGTGTCAAAGATCCTGTGTTTACATGGGATAGGCCTCCCTTAGCTGCCATTTGGCTGCTATTCGTGTTGCATAAATCACATATCCCCACGAAAGCAATACAATGGTGAGCAGAATCTGTGAAAGGAAGACAGTAACATGACATGTCATAAAATTTGCATTTGACATAATGTGGTCTACAACTGGTATAAAATGGCTTCTCCCAATGAATTCCGGCCACTGCACTGTTGTTAAGGTGCTGAAAATGAGTACGGAACAGGTTCTACTCTGGAAAGTCGGCAGCACATGCCAAACTGCTCTTTCCACTTGGGATGGAGAGGAAAGACAGGAATGAGCAATGCTACCCTGTAGGTCTGCATTGCCTTGGCTTGTAGGGGAAACGTATAGAATGCCTCCAAGCAAGGTCTGACATTGCAGAAGAAAAATTCTTTTAAGGGTCGGATTATGACTACCCTAGTTTTCTCTGTGGAAAGCCAGCAGCAGCAGGCATGAGGACCCAAAATGGGCAGTTCTGCGGACTGGTTGCAGATTACCCCAAGCTACTTTTCCTTGGTTGTTTTCAAATTGGGAGGAACTAAATTTGCCAGTGCTTCAATGTAAAGCAGGCATTTTGCCCCTGAAGATGTCTGTTAATCTGAGAAAGTGTGCAAGTGGACAAAAGCAAAACATGCTATTTTCAGAAGGTGATGGCAGAGCGAGGCAGCAAATGTGGGGTATTATGGAAAGTTAGCCAACGTCATTAATTCACTTTGTTAAATTTTTGCTATCAGAGGTGGAGTGAGTTTCTGCCAAACATCTCAAATAAATCTAGCTAGCTTCATGCACTGTGTACCTTGATGTGGGTGAGCGGAAATACCATCTGCTGCTGTCTTTCGGGTAACAAAGTGTGTTTGGATGGCCCTGGGTGGCTGTACTGAGAACAAGTGACCATAGTATGTCTCTCCGCTGACAAGGGGAAGGGATTTAAAAAGAGGTAGCTCTGCTAGTTCCGTTTCTACATCTATAACAAAAAACAAAAGTATTACATCACCTTACGAACTAATAGACTTATTCTGGTGTGAGCTTTCATGGAGTGAAGGGTACTGTATTCTCCTTCAGAGTAAGATGGTCCCCTGCCAGGGATCCTTAAGCTATGGATTTCCTGGTTTGGCAGGAAGTTAGATTTGATGACCCTTGGGGTCCTTTCCAGCTTTACAGATGTATGTTTCTATGTAAGTAATGTATCTGAGGAATGGGCTGTAGTCTACAAATACTCCTGCTGAAATGTATCTTTTAGTCTTTAAGGTGCCCCAATACTTTTCAGGGTTTTGCTGTTTCGTTTTTGTTATGAGTTGGAAAGAGTGGGTTTAAATGTGGTATCATGATCCTGTTTGCATTTCCAGGGATATCCTTCAGCACAGCACTGCTCCGTGTGAACAAATACACCTTGCTTTCCTTCAATGCCAAACCCCATTTTCATATAGTTTTTGGTCTCTTTTACCTGATCTTGGCGGCCCCCATATTTTTCCTATGATCCCAATGCAGCCATCAAATTGAGGTATCAGGTGTAAAAGAAATCTAACTTGTGGTTGTTAGCTTGACGAAGGAGATAAATCTAAATGTGCAAAACAATAGTATGTGACATGTCTAACTTGTGGCTAAATGTGCAAAACAATAGTATGTGACATACTTTGTATGCTGTTTCTCAACACTCAGCTTCACATTTTTGATAAGGGTGAAAATTATGATGTCTTTGATCCTGCAACCAGTTTTGCTACAGTGGTATCAACATGCAACTGATGGAGCACGAGATGGGTAAGAAATGGGATAAGGCAGGAAACATCAATTTTGTTACTGTGTTTAGTAAAGGGGAAGTGAAATGAGATTGGAGAAAAATAAATGTAATACATGGGTCCTATTTACTAAACATCAGACAGTGGAAACTGGTACCAGGAATGGTAAAGGTGAAAGACAATTGGAAGACATGTCAATCAGTTTCCCCACTACAGTTCTTAGTCATAAAAAATGCCTAAAGTACAGAACCTCCCTCTTCAAAGGCTGTGTATGTCAGATGATAGGCATCAGCTTTCTGTCACCCTCCTGGATTTTAAAGAGTATTTTCATTTGTTGCTGTCCTGAACAAAGTGCTTTTAGTCCAAAACTGTCACCTTTGCTTGCCTTGTCTACTCTCCAGTTAACATGCACAGGACTGACTTGTAAAATCGGTTGCAGAGTTTTGGATTTTGGATTAAATTTCCCTAGCTGTGCAGCAGAAGTGGTGGGACTCACAGAGCATATTAACGTCAAGTTCTACAGATTTATCTCTCTCCCCGCCCCCCATTAACTGGCATATAGTCTCAATAACTCACTCTGAGATATTAGTAGCAGAAAGAATAAAAAAAAGGTTCATTACTTACAATTGAACAGATCAAACGGGGAACTGAAAAACATGACTGCTTTAAGCAATAGACCTCAACAGACTAAAAAGAGGGAAACATGCAGAGCAGAGAGGAGATGGCTGTCTTTGAATTCAGAGACAGGAGGGAACAATTGTTAGTGCTGGATAGATTGACTGACAGTCACTCCAGCCAAGAAAGGTTCCTCCCAGCCACATCTATAGGTAGCATGTAAGGTTGTAAAAACTCCCAACAAAATCTAGGCAGGATTACAGACTGCGATCCTCTCCCAGTGCAATGAATTTATTGCTAGTTTGGGGAGAGGTAATACATGGGAGCCTGCGATATACATCGGCCGTTGCCAAAAGGGATGTTGCCCTGTTGTCTCTTGCTCGTAATGGGAAAGTTCCTAGGGAGTAGGAGAACATCGGGCGCCTTACCAGCGAATACAGCCACTCCAGAGTCGTCCGATCCACCAGCACCATTTTTCCTTCTTCTTTCGAGCCTCCTAGTTACAAGCAGCGCCGCATCCCTTCAACAGAGTATCCGGAAGTTAGGAACGAAGGTCGGACAGGAAAGGGAGGGTGCAAGAGGCGGCCATCTTTGTTAAGGGAAGGAAAAAAAGAACCCTCAAGCCCACTTCCTCGGGCTGTGCTGGGGAATCTACATAAGTTGGTCTTCCATTGCCCGAGGACCTGAACAGTGTGCCCTATACAATGGATGCCGGGATCTGCCCATAGTCTGCGCCGGAGGGAGAGTTTTATCAATTTTACCAGTTTGCAGCTTTTTTTTAGACTACAGCTCCCAGAGTGCACTAGGTAGCGATGTTGCCTTGGGAGTTGTAGTCCAAAACCAAATCTGCTTACCTTTACAGTATTTTCGATTAGTTTTCCAAGATTATCGTGCTTTATGGTGTGTAGATGCGAAGTATCCTATGGGCCCGATTCCTAAAACAGCGGGCGGTGGGGGGGTGGCGCAGTGAAGAGGGAGAGAGAGAGAGACACGTTCGAAATTCAGGAGAACCGAATTTCAAGTCCCCGCTCTTCCGTGGGAACTCACCGCTTACCTTTACAGTATTTTCGATTAGTTTTCCAAGATTATCGTGCTTTATGGTGTGTAGATGCGAAGTATCCTATGGGCCCGATTCCTAAAACAGCGGGCGGTGGGGGGGTGGCGCAGTGAAGAGGGAGAGAGAGAGAGACACGTTCGAAATTCAGGAGAACCGAATTTCAAGTCCCCGCTCTTCCGTGGGAACTCACCGCTTGGGGGGAAGCTCGAAATTCAGGAGAACCGAATTTCAAATCCCCGCTCTTCCGTGGGAACTCACCGCTTGGGGGGAAGGCGGCACGGTTAAACCGCTCCTGTGGTCTCCCACAACCATCGAAAGTCCTCTTAGAGTCTCCGTCTATCACATGCTACTTGAATGCACATGAAAAGAGTAGGTATAGCTGAGATGAAATAAAGCTGCGATCCACCCCGAAGGCAGGGACGAGGCCGCTCCGCTGCACTCAGGGAGAGGGATCTCCAGAAACCCGGACAGGGCATTCTGCTCAAGCCTGGGCTTTTCACCTCTAACGCTTGCATTGTAATTGCTAGAAGTCAGAAGGCGCGAGGGAGGATCTACATTAGGCCATTCCTGGGGAAAAGATTTGGTAGCTCTATGAAAAGCGAAAGCGGCCGGGGTAACAGAACCGGTTCTTTATTTGGGCCATTCTTCCCAACGGATTTCCTCTTGACCCGGAAGGCAGCGGTGCGCCCGCCCTTCCCGGGAGCTGCGCATCCGGTTCAAGCGGGGTAGGGCAACAA